TTGGTTTACCGCACAATTATGCACATGAAACAGTGAGGCACAGTTGTTGGGCAGCACAAAAGTGCAATCTGATATTCCTGTGAGGGACTGTTGGTGCAGTGCACAACATGACACAGCTGTGCTTCTTTGAGGTGTTCACCAAATGACCCAAAGAGTGACTTCAGCATAGGAGGGTTAAAACACAAAGACAAATACATTACGAATAACCCCCCCCCCCGCAAAAAAAAAAGAATTATTGAGCTAAAGCCACCAGAGCTACTGCAAAATTTGGGTGGTCATTTTTATCTGTAGCTCAAGCCCTTAAGACAGCCGTATTTCATCCATGTTCATTCCAAAGGCATCCACAAAGCAATGGAGGTTCTCAATCTCAAAGGGATTGACGAATTTTTTTTTCCCTGGAAGGTTCACCTTCGGGATCTGAGGACCCTGAAAGTAGAGCATCAGCTTGATCCACACTCGGGCACGCTGTCCGACTTTGACGTCCACGGAAACCAGCTGGTCACTTGTGGCTATGGCGAGAGGTAAACTCAAGGGTTATCTCTGAAAGTGTTTCTGTCCTGCAGATTCAGTTTGCCAGATCAAAGTTTGAATGCCATAATTTTTGGGGGGACATCTGACGCATTGCTCATCCAGATTTATTGCTCAAAGCCAACTTGCAGTATTTTAAAATGTTGTCGAGGATTGCTTGTGTCAGTACCCTCTCACATGAAGCTGAACAAAAAAATGTTTCAATTAAAAAGGAAAACAAAATTCTGACAGACTACACAAAACTACTCAACTTCACCTGTCTGACTTTCTCTTCTCTCGTTTTACCTCCCCTACCAGGAACGGAGGCTTGTCATTGGATCGTTTTCTGATGGTGTATGACCTTCGAACCATGCGACCTATGAACCCTCTTCACATTCCCATAGAGCCCTGGTACCTGCGCTACGTCCCAACTTACTCCAACAGGGTTGTCGTTGTCAGTCAGGTACATGCACGTTCTTTAACAGTTTTTTCCCCTAGGTCTTTGAGGGTTTTAATGCTCTTTTGGGAATACAGTTTGGCCCAATGGGGTAGCTTAGATGCTTTTGAAAAGCAATATCACAGGAATACTTGTCCGTATGCATACGTACTATGGGATTTGTTGAAGGAGCAGTTTTAACGCTGACATGTGGTTTGTTTTTTTTTGTGAGCAGACCGGTCAATTCCAGCTGCTTGACCCTGGTGGTCTGGTGACCCCTGAAGCCATGCTTCTTTACCAGGTCAACATCGCCGGTGACATGACCCTCGCTCTGGATGTCTCCAGCAACTACAAGGCCATCGGCTTTGGGGATTCGGGAGGTATGGTTTGCAGTGTTGTCAATTATTTCACAAATCTTCCCTTGAAGTAGTCCCAAGTATTCTGGTCACAACGTGACCCTCAAGCTGTTTGTGCATAGGCCCAGCTTTTTTTTTTTTTTACTTTATTACGAACATAGCATGAAATTTCACAGGGTTGGAGGATAGAAAAAAATTTCAAGAACTCGAAATTTTCATTCCATTCCAAATTCTATTGTTCCATTTGACTTATCTACATTCAGAAGAAAAATGTATTGAATTTAGTCCATTACTTCTTTTTTTTTTGTTGAAAACACAAAACATTGTTGGAATAACATAATGTCAATATTTTTCATTTAATTTTTAATCAAATTGCATTATTTGAAGTTTGTGGGTTCCTAATCCAACTAATAAATATTGGCCTAAATTGTAACAAGGACATCCCCTTGTTCATTGTTCATAGGAGAAGTACGTCTGACCATTCTTGCAATGACTAGTGAAAAGTACATGTGAAATTCTTGTCTATATCACTGATAGTTTGAGAAATATGCCCTTTTCTGTATCCATTCTACTATGGTGGAAGTGATCAGACTAGTTTAGGGAAAATGTGGCTTTCTATACCATTCATAGTGAGCAGCGACTCCTAACCCCATGAGGACTGTCTTCCAGTGACAATTTTTACTCATATTTGTTACAGACTTAATCTCTAGCAGTGCCTGCCTTACCTAGGCTCTTGGAGCTTCAAATTACATATTGATTCGAACCCTCACACGTGTTGTGTCATCAAATTTAAACCAGCTAAAAGTTTTCCCCTCAACAGGTTTTCAAATTCTGTCCTCTCTTTTCCAGGGTACGTACATCAGTGGACTGATTCAGAAGAGGTGACCTTTAATGCATTTCCAAGAGAGACAGAATTCGCTCATCCAGTACGTAACTGGAATGCTGCAGTTTTTTAAACAAAATCTTCTAATTTGGTAACGTTGCTCTGCATATTTGGGGAACATAACCTTATATCGCAGCTACTCATGGCCATGGAGAAGAATACTCACCCACAAATCTGTAACAATAACTACATCACTGTCTTACTAATCTATCAGCCATAAAACTGGAACTCAAACGGTCTGCCAACCTATCCTAATATGTTCCACTCTTTACAAGCAGTTACCATGGCTGTGTTTGATGCCGTCCAAAAACTCCACTTCCAGAATTTTGTCCAGGCCTCCCCTCCCCAGTGAGCAAAAGCCACCCACTCCGCCAGCTACCACCCCAAAGACATCAAAATTATCAAACAGCTTTTACTGCACGGTTTCTTCTATGAGGTGAAATGGTGTAAATTTGAGGCCGAGTTTCCTTTGATACACTTTAGAGAGCAGCCTGTTTATTTTTCCCCAAACTGTAGCCTGAGCACCACCCACCCATCTCCATCAGCAATGAGTTTGCCTCATACTCGTCCATCCCGATGCCCTTCAGCGAGGGGCCTCTTCTCTCCGACTGGCCCCAGGAGTACTGCCGTCCTGTGGTCAGGTAAAGAAAGGTCAACAAATGTCAGTGGGCTGAAAAGGTTTATGAATGTAGTCCTTTGGGATGAGACCGTCCGACTTAGCGCAGCTGCATGTGCTGCTGAGAAATGTCATACATTGTTGAACTTGAGACCAGTCATTTGGTGAATGCTTGACACTGGTTGTGGAGCTCTCAGTGAAGCTGAAGACAGACAAAGAGTTTGGAAATGGGCTTCAAAATTAAACCACACTGGCATGCAGATTTGGCGCGCGTGTTAAATACCATTTTGGCCGGTACATTGTTTACATGATTGCCAAAATGCAGCTCTTAATCAGTTTTGAAGTAATTTCCAAATTTGGGGGATTCAACCTCTTTGCTTGTGTAGAAAGGAAAATCACAGATTTGTACGATGTCATATCCACTTGCGTTTCAGTTTTAAACAACCACTGATGTTCCTACTGGATAATTGCTCTGTTAGTGCATGTGTCTGCAAGGCTGTCTACATTCAGTGATGTTGTTTCGGACAATCCACGAGTGTACTTACTGCATGCAAGCCCTGTCGCTGTTTTCCCATTTTAATTTGATGTAAGCAAGCCTTGCCCGTTACCCATGAATATTGCCTGCAGGCAAGCCCCACCCATTGACCCGGAGATCCTGCGCTCCATGAAGGTGGTGCAGTTCATCGGCTACGCCCCCAACCCGGGCACCAAGAAACGCAACCAGGTCATGTATAAGGAGGTCAAACCGGAGAAGCGAAAAGGCAAGGGCAACGTGCCCGAGTCGCCCCTCGGAAGAGGTCGGTCATTTCCAAATTTACAGTTTTTCAACTTGTCCATTGTTTTAGTCAAGTCTGTTACAAGTCCCCGAAAGGCATCCAGTCACAAAGTCAAATCGCAAGCTATTCAGTGGCACTTTGATTAAAGCATTTCTTTGTTATCATTTGCTACGTTAAAGTGATCTTGAGAAAGGACTAGTGAGGAACTTGTTTAAAGACCTGTGTGTCTAAAGCACTGCAGTTTTCCATGCCCCAGGCACACAACTAAAATTCCATTGTCTTCCATTGATTGCAATGAAGGGCTCAACTCAGACAGGCAGCTTTTGTTAGCTAGGTCCTTAGTGAAGATGTCTGCATTTGTAAGCAGGACATTGTAAACTGGAGTCTGGTCCAGTAAACCTGTCCAGTGTACCCTGTCACACCATTGTTTATTTGCATGTTGTTATATCATTTGGCCTCTCACGGCTCAATTTCTCTTGCGTTTTTATCATTTGATAAAGACGCTGATATGCATATGTACATGGTTCCCAAGTATTACCGCAAAGTGGAAATCAAATACTCTAAGCTGGGAGTGGACGACTTTGACTTCCGGCACTACAACCAGACTAACTTTGCCGGTCTGGAGCCACACATCCCCAATGCCTATTGCAACTGCATGTTACAGGTAGGTCACCCGTGTACAAGACAGGTACCCATTGCTACATAGTTCATCATATATACATTTGAAAGTCCCCAAGAGCTCACGCCTTGGATCACCTAACACTCAGAGAAAAAGTGTTGCTTACTTGTGCGTGCTGGGTTCAATTTTATAAAGCTACTAAGTAGAAAACTGTAGCAGAAGAGAGCCAGTTACAGGCAATCATATTGTGGCAGCTTGGCTGGTAACAGGGTTTCTGTGCTTATTAAATGAGTATTTAGCAGCTCATTGACTTCGGGTCCAAGCCAGCGGTCATAGGTATCCCTGTAAAAGCAGAGATCCTTCAATACAGTGTGTGGATTGATAAAGAGCTTTGGGAACATTCGAAAACTTAGATTCCTGGTAACGTTCTGTGAGAAATGTGTCACTCCTTCAACTGAAAACAACTGATCCCACTGAGAACAACGCAGGAGTTCAAGCTGCTTTGATAGAGGAACACTGGTCATTCATCAAAACACTTGCTCACATTCATCTGTTCTTGTTAAGCACACAGAGTGGAGTTTCCAAAAAGGCATTTCTAAAAGCTGGAGGAAATTTGAATTTCCAGCTTCTTTTATAGTCACTCCTCTTGACTCTACATTTTAATGCATTTCATCGAGCACTTGCCTCGTTCACAGTGTGACCTATTCTTTAAATGTTATCTTAATTGATGTACTAATCTGTTCTTGCACTCAGTTGCTGTACTTCATTGAGCCACTGCGCTGTGTATTGGAGAGCCACCTGTGTACCAAAGAGTTCTGCCTGGCTTGCGAGTTGGGACTGCTGTTCTACATGCTGGACCAGTCCAGAGGACAGACATGCCAGGTATGTCGATGTGTCGCATGCCTTGGGAGACAATAGTGTACATCTTGTCAGTCAGGGGAAAAAGGTATGGGCGTCTCAAATGAAAACCTTGGTCAACCTTAATTGTGCCTGATGCAGCAAGATTCTGTGTTAAGTTGCAATAGAGGCTTTGCCCGGTAGCCATCTTGCAGGGATGTTCTTTTATTCCACAGGAAAACTTCCTTTGTGCATACCCTGTGTAACAAAAGAACTGTCCTGTAAGATGGCTCCCACGCAAAGCCTCCATAGGGGTTTGAGCAATGCTGTTAGACCACAACCCGTCTGAATCGACCTGCTGCTTGTTTTGTTTGTATGTTTTACTGTGATAGCTGGAAAAATGTACATGTATATTAGACTAGAAATAAGTTTTGGTACGTAAATAGTAAAATGTTGCTGATAAAGTTGTAAGGCATTGGCTTTTCATGTCAAAGCAACATCTTGTTTGCAAAAAAAAGTGATATCTGAATGTCGCTGGAGTGATGTTGCGTAAAAAAGTTTATCAATTTGTATTTTTTGTTCCACTTGACTTTCAAGGCGAGCAACTTCCTGCGAGCCTTCCGTACCATCCCTGAGGCCTCGGCCCTGGGCCTGTTGCTAGGAGAAGCGGAGGAAGCAGCTGGCAAGGCCAACTATCCCCGTCTGATCCAGAGCTGGAACCGGTTTGTGCTTGCCCAGCTGGTACAGGTATATCCCTCCTGCCTAGCTGTGAGGCCAGTCCGTGACTGACAATGCTTGAGCCCAGTTTCATGTTTCATTTTACGACCAGAATGAATTATGTTTGATTGAAGGTATTGAGATTTGTATTTCCAAATCTCTTTTCAGTTACCTGCAATAATTTTTTTAACTGTATGGGGTACTATCTGGGGATTCCTTTAAGTCAGCTGTCTTTGACCTTCAACCTCAGGAAATATGACCCTCATGTGTCACACGCAGCTGTTTAGTCCATACACGCCACAGGGCTACTCCTTGCCAGTCAATATGCATACAGTATTGCCCATGAGGGCAGCAGTTTGAATGCATATTGTTATGTTACCACGTAACTGCTCTCTGTAGCAGTGGATATTTTTGGAAGGGACTATTCCGCGCATGAGTTGGACCCAGCTGTGGTCAATTGTTTCAATCTTTCCTGCACAGGACACTGCAGAATCGGAAACAGGAGGAGGAACAGACGCGGCCCAGCAGATGTTTGAGGCAGACGTTAAGACGGAAGTGAAATGCCGATGCAGCAAGGAAACTACAAGGTCATCCTCGAGCCTGTTGGTCACCCTCACATATCCAGAGTTCCTTCCACCAAGTAAGTCCTTTTTTCTTTCTCAGGGCAGAAGAGGTTGGGATGTTGGATATTACCTAGTTTGAGTGCATGTCGTTGCAGAGCAAATATTTACCAAGCCTTTAAAGGACAAAGTTTTCTAAGTGCAGATAAAGTTACTCTGTAAAACACAGATTACCATTGGAAACATTATATTAATAGATATATTGCATTAGACTTGTCTTGTAATAAGTTTTTGAAAGTTTTTTTTTGCCAACTGAAGTTCTCAGTTTGGTAGCCAGTGACATCAGGGTTCCGCGGGTATGAGAAAAGCTTGAAAAATTCTCAAAAATAAACTTCCCAGAAAGTTATGGAAAAGTTATGGCGAATGGGGAGAAGAATGGTGTCGTGGAATGGTGTTAGAAGAGGAAAAAAAGTCATGAAAAACTATGGAAATCAAGATCATGCAAAGATTATATTTGATGGGCCACTTTTGATGCAATAATGGAATAATGATAAATTCACAAGCTATATCATTGTTAGTCTATTTTAGCAGCTGTGGCAGACTCCCGGTTCAGAATGCCAAACAACTGTTCTCTGGAAAATGGCATTAAATATTATGTAATATTTCATAGTAAAGTCCTGGAATTTGGTTTTCAGATTTCTGTGGGAACCCTAGACATACATTTTTCCAAAGTATCATCCACTTTGGCTGTTTTTTTTCACAGCGGCCACAAGGCCTGCCAGAGCAGTGTCATTTGCCTCCGTCTTACAGAACAGCATGCTCCTCGATCAGACCATGCAGGCATGGTGCGACGACTGCAACAGGTACCAGCCCACGGTAAGCTGGACAGACAGCCATGCAGGCAGACAGACTAACATCCTATACAGCAAGCAAGGCCATCACGGCCAGGAGAATTCGTGACGCTGTCTGCTGCCAGTAGCCCATAAGAAGACAAGCATTTTCGTGACATTCTTTATAAATTTTGTCCGTTGCAATTAAAAAATACAGTGTGTAATGTAAGATGATTATAGTATAGCTAGCGTTGAAGTTTGTAGAAGTACACGCTGACTTCCCATTACATGGACATTTTAATGATGGTCATTCCACTCACACTGTGCTGCCATATTTCAGTAAAATAGCTACCCTTTCATCACTAAAGCTCCAATTTTTTGTTCTTGAACACACAAACCTGTTGTCTCAAACACAACCATATCCTGTAGTGATTTTCCCAGCATTGCACTTATTAAGAGGTTAGTCGTCAGAATTTTGTTTTTTGCACTCACATTTCTTTGCAGTCTCAAAAGCGAACCTACAAGCGCTTGCCTGATGTCTTATCTATCAACTGCCACTTGGAGTCCAACTCCGACATCATGTTCTGGAAGATACAAGAACAGGTAAAGAAATGTTAGCGGTGGATGTTTCTTGGACGATGAAGTGTTTGATGTGTGAGAGACAGGTGCAGGGACAGTTTCAGTGTCGGTTTGAGACTCTGAGCATTCATGTAGAGTGTGCTCATCACCAACTGCAGACAAGACTTGCTATGGACTCTGTAAATTAGTCTTTACCCACAGAAGACCCAGCTAATTGATCAAAACTTAGACTGATTGTTTTTGTCAGTCTGTATTGTTTTATTTAAGTTGTAAACCATAAGGGTTTTTCCACAAATGCCACTTCATCACCGTCGACTGCCTAAAGGCCAGTTCATAATTAAGGCAAATTCCAAAGGGAAGCAAATTTGATGTGACAGAACGTTGCCTGTAATTTCACTGGAGTGGAAATGTGGTCAGTTGTTACAAATTTGCTGTAGGAATAATTGATCTGACATTACAAAATCGTGTTTGATGATTGGTTTCGCATTTATTGGAGCTTGCTTATAAAATCCGCAAAAGTTTGGTACTCTTTGAAAACTGTATTGTTAAGTCATCGTTGGTGGTCCATACCTGAATGCTTAACCTCCATCTTTCCATGAACAGAATCTTACGAATATCAGCTGAAGGGACCTAAACCTGATTTCATGGCAGTTCTTAACAGTTTGCAGAAGTGTCGTGCTTACTGTAGCAGAAGATTTTGCTGACCATAATCACCATTACATGGTGGTGCTTGGTGTGGTCGTGCTTACAGTCGCGCCCATAGATATTTCCATTGTTTTGACACTATGTTTAAGCACATTTTGTCTACAAGGTAAGCATGCGTTTTGCTGTGCTTATGCTTACAGTCTGCGTGAAATCCATGGAGCCTCTGAAAGCATAAAATTGTGTGCTTAGCAGCAGTGTTGTATTCAAGTCCATCACAAGTCCCTATAAGTCCATCACAAGTCCCTTTAAGTCCATCACAAGTCCCTGTAAGTCCATCACAAGTCCGTCACAAGTCATTCAGTCGTAAGCCAATTCACAAGCTATTCAAATGAGCTGTGACAAAAGTATTCTTTTGTCATTGTTCACCCTGTTACTTATGACTGGCCTTGTGAAGGGACTTGTGAAAGGACTTGTGATGGACTCAAATACAACACCGCTTAACAGTGCCGTGAAAATGGGCCCTGAGATGACTGTTCCTGTTTGCATACCCTGTTTGTAGTTGGCTCATGCCAGGGAGGCCGAGGCTCACAAACAGCAGCTAGAAGCCAACCTGGCCAGCATCAAGATGTGCCGCTATGGCCAATCCTGCACCAGGCAAGGTTGCAAGTTCAGACACATGGATGAGAGAGATGCATCCAACCCGTAAGCAGCATTTCTCTTTTAGTACTTCAGACAACAGAGCTTGCTTTCCAACCTATTGTCCATCCTATCCGCTCCGACCGGAACAAAAGAGGGCGTATTTTTTTTTTTCACTCACCACATACGCGCGTCATAAGGCGTGCAAGTATATGCGTGTTTGACGTCGAGCACGCTGAGTGCACATAACTAATTTATTGTGGCATGCATGGTTTTTGCATATACACAGAACGCGTGCAAGAACCTGCAAGTAACCACCTGTCTTTCTTTTGCCAATTGGGGGTGTACTTCTACTCGGGGCGGATATCCAGAGATCCAGATATCTATGATCACAATTGGAGCAATTGAAATATGTATAAACATATGAAAATCACTCGTTTTTTAACCCACATTAGGATCCCAAAAGGCAAAAGGATTCATTGGCTTAAATTGAGAGCTTCATTTTGTCTTTCCCTTTGTCTGATCCCAGCCTCCTGCAGGAAGAGAATAAAGCATCCTGGCTGCCCCTGGGTCTCAGGATGCGACTGAATAAAGATGGAACCCTGGAGATACAAGAAGTCAGGGATGACGTAAGTAATGTATGTTCATACCTACCCTACACAACGTCATGTGTGTTGGGCTCCTGCGTTGAGCACATGCGGATGGGAAAAGTTCATTTTTTCACCTGTTTGCCTTTGAAAATGAACATTATGCTGGAATGGTGCGTGCAATTTTCATAAAATTGGTATCAAAATGACAAGACATCAACGGAAAAACTCCTGAAGGCTTGTTGCATTATGCAGTCTGATGTATAAGCTTGCCCTGGGCCCAGTAGGATCAACAAAGTTGATTGTCCAATCATCACCCCACAAATGCTAATGCAAGTATACATCTACGTGAACAGAATTTCATGAATGGATTTGCCAACCGTTGTATCTTCTAGGAGAAGGTCGACAGCTCCTCTGGCTTTGTCGACTATTACCTGCATGCCTCCATCGCTCATATCAAGGATGTACGGACAGCGGGCAATCTGGTGGCTCATGTACAGGTGGGCAAGACCTACCACAAACGCAAAGAGGTGAGATCTAGTCATTCCAATCAATCACGTAGAAGCCTTCATACTTTGCCATCCATTCAAGGTATAGGTATTTTTTGCTTTAAGTTCTGTATTTATCTACTCATTTCAAACTATTGAGATAAAAAATGAAATAGAAATGTTTCAAGCTTGGACAATTTCTCATTATATTTCTAGTTTTATTTGTGTCACATGTTTGTCTTCAAGCCAAACGTAGTTTCTACCTTAAAGATGAACAAAGAAATTGACTGGAGCAGGGTTTGAACCTGCGGCCTCCGGAATACCGTACCTGTGCTCTACCAACTGAGCTATCCAGCCCTATGTTGGTGGCTCTTCCCATTTATCAATATCTTTACCAATTCCCAGGTTGTATCGTGTACAGTTGGAGGTACAGTTTATTGTAGACTTGAGTTTATGTGTCTATGTATGTTAACACAATTCAAAATAATTGATATTTTGCAGGGAGTATCACACATGCAGTGGTACATATTCAATGACTTCAGCATTGAGTCCATCGAGAAGCATGAAGTGGTCCAATTCAACATGGAATGGAAGGTGCCATGCGTCCTGTTCTACATGAGAGAGGATATCAACAGTCACTACGACATAACAAGTAGGAAGGAAAAATGTTCTTGATCCAGGAGCATTGAATGAATTTGCTCCTTCTATCAAATGGGTTTTTTAGGACAAGAATACTGCTTCTATGGTGAACAGATTGTGGAACAGAATTAAGTACCCTCAGGCTTCTGGTATAATCAGGGTTGAAAGCTGTACGTTCTTGCGTGCAGCTTTTCCTCGGATCGACTAATTTCCTTGTTTTTCCATGTCACATTCATGCCATTGAACATTGAAAAACACTGCACAAAGTCTTGTACAGATTGGAATTTCCTCGTATTTTGTCAAACTCCAAGTTGCATGCCTGTCTGGAATTGACAACTTCATGATGTAATATAACCCTATATAATACAAGAATAAAGCTGTTGAGTATTGCGGTTACGTCATGGATAAATCTCTTTCTTGAGTATGTGTGGTTCTGAGAAGTACCAGGATCCGGCGCAGCATCCATTGTTGCCGCCTTCACTGTTCCCGCCTCACCGAGCTCATCCCTACATCTGGATCCCTCTCTACACCATATAAGCTCCACTCCCAGTCAGAACCCTGCAGCCTTCGAAACGTCGATTAATCCCCGATTCTTCTCAGAACCACACATACTCAAGAAAGAGATTTATCCATGGTGTGACCGCAATCATTTTACTCGTGTAGTTCTTTCCCCATGAAAACCTTCAAGTCTTAATAAAGCTATTAATTTGTATGACCAAGCTGTCAGAATTGAAATTCTGTACAACAGAATCTTAAAAGCGTGTTGCAGGAAACTACTTGCATGTTCTTTACCCAAGTGAAGTAAGGAGAAGTGTGGCTCCACAGTCTTGAACCCACAAAAGATTCTGCAAAATGAAACCATTTTGATTTTTATGGATGTGGGGTTATTGAAGTCAGCCGAGGACAGCAGTATGTTTAGCATGGAAAATATTTACTCAGCAAAAACAAGTTACCTGCCAAATTTTCATGCAATGCATATCCCTTACTGTTAGATTTCAACTAACACCCTGATCTGCTCTCGGAAAATGAGTCAGAAGTTGCCAAAGCCACTTTTGAGTTTTAGTTCGTATTAGAAAGAGCAACCTGGGCTCTTTGTTTTGATGTATCACTCAGTTTGTTCCCAAGGAAAGTGGACATCATGTAGAGGAAAATGTTGAAGATTCCTTTTGCTTACGTTGTGCAGGATTCTCTTGATGGCCTTTAACTTAGACCTTGCTCTGGTGACTTTGAGGGGGGTCACATAATTATCTGCTTCAAACACAGATTCGCTGGCCACCGTGTTTTACTTGGCAACCCGTTGAAATTTGGCCTAGATTCTTATGGCATGTTGTATGTACGCGTATTTGTATTTTGTCAGTCAACACGCCCATTGACCACACCGTTCTCCAGCCTGAGGCCTCGCTGTCCCAAGGTGTACTTAGTCACAGTACCTTCACTCCACTGGAGGTAGATGAGCTGCCAAAAGAGGGCGACATTGTGGGTATCGATGCTGAATTTGTCTCACTCAATCAGGTAATGAACAAAGAGCAGACCGTTTTTGCCAAACAAAAACTGCTTCGTGGCTATAAACAGTCACCCCCCTGTAGTTGTAAGTTACCAAAACTCCCAAATTCAACTTACTTACCATGGCTACACTTTGTACTTGGGCAAGTCACGAAAAGTTTTAGACAGTCAAAGCAATTAAATCCTGCCAAACTTAGGGGGTGGAACTCTAATCCGTGAAAAGCAGTCACAGCTTTCTGGCGAATGCATAGTTGCATAAGAAGGCTTAACCCCTTCGCTACAGATGACTGCTACTACAGCACATTTGTGTGAGCATGAGCGCATACCACACACCATGCAGCTTCTGGTTCAATGGGGCCTGCTGCTGGACAAAGTCCTCCATTCATGGCATGCCACAGCCCAGCAGTCACGGTCAAAATAATCCCGTCGTGAAGGGGTTAAGAGAGCATCTCACAATATGACAAGCTTTGAAACTGTACAGCTGGAATATGACTAACTCAAACTGAGCCCTGCATACTGTACTATCTATAAACAGTACACAACATTAATAGTGTCGTGAGAAATTCTTTTCGGGTCTATTTTTGTAGTTACCAGCCCTTTGGTCAGTTAGAGTCCCCCCGAAATCCATACACAGCAGTGTGCAACCCACACTCTGGGCACTTTCATGCCGGGATCGTTCCTCTACAATTCTCCACTCTGTAAGAAATCAGTATTACACTCTGTGTCTGAACTGCCAATGGCTGTCAAACCCCTCTGGGAGGGTTGTGGCTGTAAAAAATAGTGTTATCTCCATTTCCCTCGCTCTTTCTGCATGCATGAAACAGGAGGAGGCTGAGATTCGGAGTGACGGCACTCGATCCACCATCAAGCCCAGCCAGATGTCCGCAGCCAGGATCAGCGTCATCCGCGGACAGGGACCCCTGGCAGGCCAGCCATTCATTGATGACTACATATCCACACAGGAACAGGTCGGCAGCTTTTACTGGAAAGCCATCGATATACTCTTATCTGTATACCATTTTTGGCCTGAGAATTTTTATTTGAATCTCCTTATAAGATCATTCTAGACAGTGAGAGGCAGAATAACTCATTTAATTTACCCAAACCCACACTTAAATGCTAGATTTGCATATAAAAAGAACCAAACTGAGGCCATGTTTCTTGAAGTAAATTTCAACAGATTAAACATAAACAACTTCGCGCCGGTAGCATTTATCAATGTTGATGATGCTGGGATGATGCTTCTGTTTTCATATCTTACTGGACACTTACACCCACATGAAGGACTGTCTGGTTCTCCTCTAATCTGACAGACAACATCTACTGACTCTAAAGTATTTCAGCCGGCCTGCTGCCTTGTAAAAAGAGCCCAGATTTTGCAGTGTTATTTTCTTTTGTTCACGAAACTGGCATAGTGCGCTGCTGACCTTTTTTCAGTAGGGGCCAGATAGGCGTGCAGCGGTGCTGTGTGGCTCTGCGCTGCGGTGTTGGAGCACATTTCTCCCGGATGGTAATCCGCTCGCGCTGAATGCCCCAAACCGTGGTATACTGTTTGAAAACAAGGCTAGATTATCTCCACTATTGAGAGTGAACACATTTTGGTAAATCCCAGCAGCCTGGTCTTTTGTTATGAGTACATTCTTTTGTTTGAAGGCATTTGTCAGATTTTGGAGACCCCGGCCACGCGTATAAAGAATATGTGTTTGAAACCGGAATCCCCAGGGGCAAGTGGTTAAACAGCATCAGATTTTACCTGACCAAGGTGTGGGGCATCAATTTTGTCAAGATTTATCTCTCTCAGTTGGCCCTCTTGCCTTAACTCTCATCAGAGTGTGGTTTACGGATCTGAAATTCCGATTCTCGGTCCTGGAAGTGTCTTTCCTGCACCAGGCTGGGGCTGCATGCAAATCTATTGTCTAGAGCTAAGTCTAGCTCTTCACTCAATTAAAAGCATGCAGAGATATGGAAACAATAGAGGTGTAGGGTCCATTTTTTGGTGTCCCTGTCACGTCTGACATACGGTTTTGTCAGTTCAGAACACATTTTTTAATTTCCAAGAGTGATGAATTATTGCAAATTACCTGCCAAACAAATAGTAATAGTTTGAAATCACTTTCAGTGATATTTCCATGTCAAATAACAAAGGTCAGATGTAACAGGGACACAAAAACGCCACACTTTTGAACCCCTAATTTCTGGAATTACCCGTATGCCTTCCTGCAAGCTCACTCATTCTAGCATTGCCTTATAATTTTGCTTGTCTTCCTGCACACCCCTCCTCAGGTTGTGGATTACCTGACCAAGTTCTCGGGCATCAAGCCAGGGGATCTGGATGCCACTATCTCTTCCAAGCACCTGACCACGCTCAAGGCCACGTATCTCAAGCTGCGCTACCTGATTGACTGCAAGGTCAAGTTTGTTGGACACGGACTGCGTAAGGATTTCAGGGTCCTCAACCTCTTGGTGAGCAAATCAACTCCACTCCCCTGTCAAACGTCTGAATTGGTTTTGAGTGTCAGAAAGTAAATTGATTTTGAGTGAGCATCTTAATTCTTGTAATGTCCTGTAACTACTAAATATTTTGAAGACGATGCACGATGTTTTACAGTAATTTGAACAAGTCGTTACCAACTTTTTCTAACTAAAACAGCTGTTACTTTTTAAAGTTTACATGCTCTTTAATAAACCTTTCTATAGGGAACGCCCAGTTTCAGTAGACTTTTTTCAGTGGAAACTGGTCAAATTGCAAATTAGAAGAGCTTTTTGGCTCAAAGGAATTTTTTCAAAGCAGTTGTGGCATTCTCGTTACTAGTAACCTACCACTCAGCCACAAGTCATGCACAACAAAGTTGTGAACGACTTTACAAGCAATAGCACACAGTCGCCGCTATTGGTCAGCATTTGTATGTTTTAGGAATGCATATGATGAGACTGGTATCTCAAAAGTAAAGGGCACCGTGTTTCCTTCACAGAGCCGTATATCGTTTCCATTGTATCGCTAAAAAGCACAGTTGATCATGGAGCCCACAGCCTGATTATGACGTGGCCAGAATCGTAATCTTGTTCTTCTTATCTTGACACTGCACAGGTTCCACACAAGCAGATCATAGACACTGCTGCCCTCTTCAACCTCCCCAAACAGCGGATACTGTCCCTGCGCTTCCTGGCCTGGTTCTTCCTTGGTAAAACACAGACTTGTTTTGTTTTTTTTGTGGTGGGGGCTCTAATTCAGTGGCCATGATTACCATAATGGTACCATGTTTGTGGGCAGGTGCATGTTGCATGCCTCTTCAAACAGTAGCGTAAGTCTATAATAGCCAAGGCTTTAAGAAAAGCAGCCTGGTATTGTCGATCCGAAGGTGGTGGCTGATGCCCAACTACCTCCAATGTAAAATGCAGGGAGGTAGATATGTGTACATAAGCTAAAAATGAGAAACTAGTATGCTTTTCTTCCCAAGAAATTTGATTACTTCTCCACCAATTTCAGAGCATCTGAGGGTGAATACAAAAGGGTAAATAAGAACACGCTTGTGTTGTAATCACTTCTATCACAACTCTTTTCTGTCCTGCGTGCCCCAGGCATGAACATCCAGTCAGAGACCCATGATAGTATTGAGGATGCTCGGACCGCCCTACAGCTCTACCGCAAATACCTGGAGCTGACGGAGGAGGAGGAATGGCAGAAAGAGCTGAAGCGACTCTACAGCGAGGGACGCAGCCTGCAGTGGAAAGTCCCCGGAACTACTTGAGGGGGCGGACTGCAGCCACAGTATTCCTACGCCCCTTCAAGAGAGGGCTCATTCTTCCGGGACTTTTTGGGGGATGTCGGCTAAACTTCAGCCGAGTCATTGGGATTCTATGACAGAGTGCCATTAGCCGTGTGTCCCTGTGAGCCACTTTCTAACCTTGCATTGGACGTGCTGAAAACGCTATGCCGCAGTTTGCATGTGATACCAAGATGACGTTTCCTCCACATGTACATACAAACTCATACAGGAGAAACCAACAGGAAATACAGAGCGAATCCACCAACTTCAACTTGTCATGTCCATCACAAGATAAACTGCCGACGTTATTGTGTATTGCAAATTGATGTAAAGCGTTTTGCAATTTTTCAAGCTGTTGAATTTTTCTTGACATTTCTCAAGCCAGCAGTATTTGCGCCACCAGCGGTAACGGCTGTATTTTGAATTGCCTCTCTGTTGTGTTCTATCATAAGAAGAGAACGGTATTTAATACAAGTCAAACACTTGTCGGCCCACTGAAATTGTCAAAATCATATTTCATTTAAAGTTTTTTAAAAGCTGTAAATAAAAAGCTTTAAGATGACCAAATGAATTTGAAACAGTAGAAATATGTTTTCCTAGTCGCTGCTTCCATCATGTCATTTTCTGTCTAGTACTAGGGATATCCCAGGTAAGATTGAGCTCTCAGATCAAACATCTAGGATATCTCACGGAGTGAATGTGTGCTTACATGTATATAGAAACTTGAGCCCCATCGGTATTTGGTACTCAAAGGGTTTGTGTGACTCCTTAATGGACTAAATGGTCATTAAAGTTATACATCCATGTGACATTGATGTCTGATGTGAAATGTGTTCGCAGCGGTTCAGCTGTCTGAATTCCTGACACAATAAATTGGAACATTTTTTGTTACCTAAAGTGTAATGGTCTTAATACAATACACATATAAGAAAAGCACAAACCAATTCAAACCAGGAGGAAGGAATAGATGACTATGTGGTATACTATACCGTGAAACCACGCTACCCAGGGGATTTACTTAAGAAGAGGAAGCATGCTGAACAGGTGTAACGAAGTTGTTATCATAACAATAGTATTGTTCGCCAAAGGTATGTCAGGCGAGGTATATGACTGAGTTCGTACCACTCACGCTTTTCGCACACCAATGCTAGGACGTACTAAATACATTTGTACCAGCCGACATGTCTGATGTGTTCCTTCCTCCATGGTCTGACGAAGACTACCCAAACACTGCGAGCAAACAGGCTTCAACCCGCCGGGACAACCCACGCCATCGTTCTCCGAACTGCTTGACTCCTTCAACATTTATTTCGATGATAAGTTGTTGAATTTCAAGAAAGAAGTCGCCGAACAAACCTCTTCGGATGAGCAGAAACAGCCCAAACCGGCCGTACCGACATTTAAATTCATAGGCAAAAAAAGCAGTGGGAATTTAATAGTCAAATAGCCGAAAAGGTAGAGAAAGCACAAGCACTTCTCTCTAAAGAGAAATACGAAGAGACTAAGCTAGCCCTTGATCCTATTATTAAGGATATCAAGAAAAGAAATAAGCTGCCGAGCGAAGCCGGTTGGGGCACATTGGAAGAATACGAGTCGGGTGCACTAGCCTCGGACAGCGACGATGATATCAAGATTCGGTCAGCTCAGGCAAGAGCCTTGCCAAAACGCCAGGCAATCACATGGCCACATCAAGCTACTCCTACTGATGATGTTCAACTTGACAGAAGACATTCTAGTCAAACCTATCCAGCCACGACAGACACGTGCTTCAGCTGCGGACATCCCGGGCACTGGAGGCGCTCGATCGTACCCAGTCAGGCGGGCAGTTGCGGGATCGTCAGGCCCTCCCCAGTCAAGTCCCCGTAAGCACTGAGCCCACGACAGAACAAGATGTAACGACAGGTTAGTCATGTTAAAATTCATATGCATGGTGCTTGGTTATAAAACGGAGGGGGAGGGGGCTTTTATGTGATTTATTCGCAGCTGGCGATGTACCGAGTAAATTCTATGCATAAGAATCCGTCGACGACTTTGTCCCGAATCGATCATCTCATACGATTTGAAGAACAGTCTCTATGAATATGAGGAAGGACTGTGGGCCAATTGTTAAAGGCCGGCTAAAAGCAGCCATTGAATTTTGGAAGAAAATTGATTATAACGAATATGTGCGGAGTATCATAGATAACGTTACAAACTACCATTAGTTAGCACACCCCCAAAGTCATGCTAAAAATATCAAGTCAGCATTCAGAATTTGTTTCTACAGCTGTGAAAGATTTACTTTTCAAAGGCATGGTCATTCAAATAGATTAGCAATAAGTTTGACGATTGCAAGACGGCACTAACATATTTAGCAGTGAGAGATTATATGTTCTCTTTCGACTTTCAATCGGGATATCACCATATAGATATTTTTGAGCCTCGTCAAGCATTTATTGGATTTTCTTGGACAACCAGCAATTCCACTCAATTCTATGTTTTTACTGTTCTTCCATTCGGTTTGTCATCAGCACCCTACGTTTCCACCAAGTGCCTTCGTCCACCTGTAAAGCACTCTGATCGCGAGGAATTTTCATTGTTCTCTATCTAGGCGACGGTCGGTGTAGATAACCTGATGCAAGTTCTGCAAATGATGTAGAAGTAACAGTCAAATCGGCGACCTGATAAATGCCGGGCTCGCCCCGAACGTTGCCGAGAAAAATCCCATTGGTCTCCAACACAGAACTTGAAATGATTAGGTATTGCGTGGGATAGTGCAGCCGGAACAATTACCATTACCGAAAGGCTCATCCAAGACACTGTGCAAACAGTAAACATCATTATTGATTCACTTCCGACCACTTCCGCTGGCTTCCGTTACTGGCAAGATCATTTCCTGCATGCCCGTTGTTGGTTCTATAGCAAGGCTTATGACCAGGTTTCTCCACCACGAAATTCATAATAGAAGTTGGGATCGCAACTTTAAAATTTCTTGTGGTAGTTCAGCAATGCAAACAAATTTGTTTGAAGTCTAACCTTTCGTCCTATAGGCCTAATAAACGTTGTCTCCCAACGTACACCATTCCACAAGTCATAATTTACAGTGATGCAAGTAGAACAGGATGCGGTGCCTTTATTCAAGGCCTGACATTATTAATTTCAGGTCCTGGTCTGAAAATGAACCCCTCGAAAGTTAAACGTGGCGGGAATTGCAGGCTATCTCCAGGGCCATTTCAGCATTTCACTCTAGCGTGGCTGGTAGGCATTTGAAGGTTTTCACAGACAACCAAGCAGTTGTTTCTATTCTGTGAGCAGAAATCACATACGATAAGCGTCAATATATTAAGTTCTGTTGTGATAACGGTATAACCTTAGTTCCACAGTGGATTCTCAGAAGATTCGCTGAAGATACAATAGAGTGATCGACTATGACGATTGGGGCATTTCCCGTATCTCTCTGAGTTTGTTGATTCAGTTTTTGGTGAACAAGAAGTTGGGATAATTCAACTCCAAATACTGGTGTCCAGGTACATCCAGAGTAGACGTTTTCTCTGCCCACTGGGATAGAGAAAACAATTGTCTAGTTCATGTACCACCCATCTCCCTGGTTCCTGTTTTCCACCTCAATGCATTTGCCTCAGTGCGTACTCTCATTGTACCTCATTGGTCTTCGGCCGCCATCTGGCCATAGCTATTTTCAGATGTAAGCCCATTCCGTTCCTTGGTAGAAAGAATACATCGAGATCGATAATTCGCAAGGTGCGCTTATTCATGGTCGAAATTCGAACATCTTTTTTGGTACGGAATATTTTAACAGTCCAGTCTTGGCCATACCTTTGAACGTCTCAAGGCAATAAGGAATAAGGCGAACTCCTTACTGAAAGAGTTGTTCCTGAGAGGAACAGAAGTTGTTTCTGGATTGGAGAGAGAGAGAGAAGCAGAATACAGTATTTGGGTTGATTCTTCCTTGAGGAAGAGGGAAGCGTGTGAACAAAAAAAAAACGTTTTAATTTCTTCTCTTTTTGCAACAGGATCTTAACCTAAACAAGAAACCAAGTTCTTCCAAAAGGAAACCTTGGCTTAAGTTCTACAAGCCTCCAGAGCAGTTTCCACTTCTACCAAATATAACATAATACACAGCCTTCGAACAGTTTTCTTGGTGGGCATTGACAAAAACGTTTGTCCTCTCCCCGCCTCCTCTCTTCACATAGCAGATTATTTCATACGTCTCTTCCAAAACGGTTGTAGGTTTTCAAGTACAGAATCAGCTTTTTATGACCTGAAATAGATTCATGACATCAATGAATTGCATAAGGCATGTAACTCACGGTTTCTCCAAACCAGTCGTCAAGAAATCCCCTATAACCCCTAGTATGCTTCAGAAAATCTGTTTCATGTACGGCAAATCCACGGCTACACTTACGGACCTTAGAGCCGGGACTATGTGCCTTCTAGACTTTGCCGGATTCAATTCAGCGAATTGGTAGCACTAAGAAGATGTGACATTAAAGTGCACGACCAATTTTTGAATACATTTGTGGAAAAAAGCAAGACGGACACTTACACACAAGGTGACTGGGTAAGGTAGTTGCTTCCACTGACAATCTTACTTGCCCTGTTTCCATGCTTGAGTTATTTATGCAAAGCAAGTTTACTTGAAGAAAATTCGCAACAGTTTATTTTCTGCGCTGTAGCATACTTCAAGAAAGAAAATTCTAAAACTGTGAAATCTAAACAACTTTCATACACTAGGTCCAGAGCAATTTTAAAGGACGTCATTAAGAATATAGGCAAAGATCCCAAGAAGTTTTCATTACACAGTCTTAGATCAGGTGGGGCTAATTGAGGTGCACAGTGCTTAATATACTGTTAAAAACATGGACGCTGGTCCTCTGAAACCGCCAAGGATGATTATTTAGAAGATGCAGATGTTTCAAAAATGTCGGTGTCATTTCATTGGGGGTATAGGTGGAGGTATGGTGAGCGTTTTGCCGTTGTTTTTGAAATTGTGTTAATAACCCAGAACTTAAAAACGTGTATGTAAATCCAGCAGATTTTAATGAAAACTGAATATTTCAGTATTCCTCTAAAATTGATTTCAAATTAACGCAATGGCCCCATAAAGACATTCAGGGTTGTAACTTGGACCGGAGTTATCATTTCATATCGAAACCCAATATCCAGATATCTGTTCTTCTGACTTGCATTGTCCGTTCTTTAATCCCCAGGAGGTAGGAACAAGGTTCTGTGCTGTTGTGATAAAGCGGAATTCCTAGGTTATAAGGTTCTGTTTACTCAATGTTTTATATTTCAGGTGCGCAGGCGCGTAAGTAAACAATTTATTCGCGTTTAGCGAATAAGTCAAGAGAATACAAGTAGGACTGTCATACATGAATATGTATGCTCTTCAGTTGTGCATACATCAATTGTATAATTTGAATTTGACAGTGGAAAGTGGAAAGACTGTTTTTCTTTCTGCATTTTCAAGAAAAGAGGTTTGCCTTTTAAATGTAGTGAATTTTTATCAAGACTGGAAACTGCCTCTCAATCTTGTGACAGCATTGGCAATCAGTCTCCATCTAATTTCAAATCTGTACAATGGTTTAGCCGTGCCATTTTAGAACTAAATTTCTTAAAAAGTTTACGCCGTCAACATCTGACATTGTTACAACATACGGTTCTTCACCCTAAAGCAAGCACTCAATGAACAACCGTCTACAATTTGCATGCAATCATGAATTTATTCAAACTCTCTGTTAAGTCGAAATCATTCAGTGGAGTTAACACTGGAATGTAAGCAATGTGAACTTATTGACTCTGGACAACAATAAAATTATACCATCTGATGACTGTTCTAGGTACCATATATAAACCTTTTGAATAATTATGTGCATTCAAATATACATGTATATGAACATCTCATCAAAATTGCTGATCACAAAATATATAAAAAATGTAAGACATGCTGTGTATATGTATGAACAGGACTGACTTGTCATTTCCGCAAAGGTGCTGAGCAAATTGGGTAGAAATAGCACATTTTTCTCACAAAACGTGTCTGTTTCTGTACACTCCCAGACAAATCTGCCAACAATTAGAAGCCATTATACGACAGTAGCACTATGCTCGCGCACAAGGAGTACCTACATGCACTTGGAATATTTCTTTGACCAATGAGCTGTGTGATAATAAAACTGCGCGGGCTACACTTTCAGAACGTGTGCGCGAGTGCCGTGCCGTGGCGGTATCGTGAAATCCAATCAAGTCCAAAGAAAAAGGTCACAATGATTTAAATAATGCTTACATGGAGACACGCATACAACAGATTACACAACGAAATTTCCAAGACTACATAAAATATCCACGCATATACTTATTTTTGTCTGGAAGGAAAACAGGAAGTGTAACTTTCGCACTATAAAACACACATTACATGTAATTACCTCTGAATACATCACATTTCATGTCACTACATAATATTGGCACTTTGCCCTAATTGCAAACATCAAAATAAATATAAGATACAGGCAGCACGAACATACAATGTGTCACAAAACTTACCTTTGGTGGGTATAAATTTCATGAGTAATATTTAAAATGCAATTTGAAAAAAAAAATCTGAGCAGTGGTAAAAGTCTTGCAGCACATTGGTTGATAATACAATTTAAACAAATTAAACTAGAGAATATCAGATAGAACCATTCAATTACTTCAACACAATGTTCTTGACCACAAAAACTTAGACAATACCCTGTACTGCACCTACAAACCTCTTATTCAGCAAATACATGTAATTCTGGCCATGGCTTTTCTACTTTGTACACAGCCCACATGCCTCTGGCCTCAATACATATGCATCTCATTAAACCTCTCCTGTAGGACAAAGTTTGAGACACTACATATACATTCTGGCAGAATAAGATATAGTTTTCTGGCAATGGTATGAATTGAGAAGACCTGAACAAGGTTGCACAGCAACAAGAACAAAATGAGATTAGTTTTTTTCCTTTGGTCCTCTACATCCAACTTAAACATGACATTTTACATGCAATGGCTTGCATGCACTTCATAAGCTTTGGTGATACTATGGAGTTCACAGGATCAATACTCTGCTCTTCAAAAACCAATTACTGCTAAGAACCAATATCACCTCAATTAGTGCTAAAACTGCACTTTATTGAGTACTTATCAATTGCAAACTGTATCAAGAGGATCCGCCTGAGAATCAACACATCAGCCTCTGAAAGCTTGGAATACAGTGACTATTGCAGTGTATTTGTTGCTTATTTAATATGTTCAAGTCTGGGACAGACTGTTTTAACAACGAACCAACAAGGAGCACCCAATGCTCCAATTGTGAAAATATAAAGTTTTGAGTTGTTTGCGCAATGGAACAAAGCCCAAGTCTTCACATGCATGTGCAGATTCTCCAATGCACGTTGGAGAATGCTGCAGGTTTCTGGAAACTCCTTAAATAAAGAATACTGAAAATTGTGATATGGATTTAATGGATACTCACTTCAGTGTCAAAACAAGCTTCCGTAATACTGGCACACTGTGACTCCACAATGAGAAGTCCTTTGTGGTGGAAGAAGTATTTAGTAGAGATGATTGAGGCAAACTATCCTGCTCAGGGCTAAACTTGCTATGTGGAGACTCGATCATATGAATAAACTAACTTTTAAAATTGTGTAGCAATACGATTCTGAAAACACTTGCCAATTGTCAAATATACAATCAATCAGCAATAATGGAAGCTGCTCCCTGTGGCTATGCCAACCATACCTTCATTAGAAGACATATAACAAAGTCAGAAGACTGGAAATCTAAGCAGACAGTCAAACCACTTAAAACCTTCCTGTTACGGATAACAATGAATATTTGCTGGCAGTAAAACATGGCAGGAAATTGTGCCTACTGTCTCACAGGTATTATCGGTAATTAAAACTGGTATCAACCAGTTTGTCAGAATCAACTTTGTAACTGACATTTATGCAACCTACTCACATTTAGTCTCAGTATAGTACATGCTGCCTAACTATAGTACCCTGGTTCAACCATTTATGTACAGTACGTATTCAGGCCATATATTATTATAAATTTAAAACACTTCAGCCATTCTCTATAAACCATAAAGTTAAACAATTTGCCACAAACGGATGATTACATGTTTTCTAACGCAACACAACTTTTCAACAGTGAACATTTAATTCAAAAATATTTCCACCATATCAATAATCATGCACTAGCCATGCTATCGTGGAAAGAATAACAAACATGTACATGTACTTTAGGTGGTAAAATTGTGACTTAAAATTATTGGTATTCCAAACAGAAGCAAATAGTAAAAATTGGACGGCAAAGATAAGTACAAATGCTGGCAAAATCTTTTTCGAGTCCAATTGTTGGCACTAAGCACATTTTTACACATCAAGCAATATACAACATTTATTACAGCATCTCCATCAATACACGTTATTGTGTTGCACGATCTGTCGATCCTATATGAAATCTTCAACCTTACTTACCCTTCACATAATAACCTTCTGCAGCTGGGACTCAGACAGAAAACGGGATCACCTGACGACAGCAGCACCAACAGATTTCACAGATGATCGAACGATAAAACAGTGCAATCTCACAATTGCACAGATCTGCCAATCACGTCTAACACAAACACGTATATTTAAAATCCATCAATGCACTGGTCCCCTCGTAAAACTGCATCTTATCCCATTAACATTTCGATCTGAGTTGTAACTACGTTCTGCTCCTTGCTGGAGGAAAATAAAGACTTTCTACCTAGTCACAAAATGGTTACATCCTGCTAAAGTGATTTCCAAAGAAAACCTTCATAATTTTATACACCTGTTTTTTTTAGGTTCTACCATCAACCTTTCGTTAAACCGTGTAAAATAGTACCATGAGTATAGAAATATCTCTTTAATACTGTAGATTCAGTAAATTTACAATTACATATCGAACAAGAGCATCCCCTACGTCTAAAGCTACTCAGAAAAAAGTCTTGCAGTGTACAAGTGAGGATTGGTAAACAAGGTGAGAAATATATTTCAGTATAGCAATACTTTGTGTGCTATCAGTGCATGAGCTATTTCAATTTGATAACACAGAGTTGAACTACTAATGCAAGTAATTATGATTTGCAATGAGCACTGTCATACAACAGGAAAAAAAATCTTATTCTGACACTCACTCAGAAATTATAACCTTTAGTATACATCTGAAACTTTTGACAGCTTTTCCAAGAAAGTTGATTTTTAAATTCCAGCAAAGACCCCTCCAAAAGAGAACAAACCAGAACTTACAAAATTCTCCCATCGGCCAACTGACAATCAAGTTAACTCTTTGGTCAAGTCAAACAGTAATCATCAACGTCACAACACACTTTGGAAAATACCAAATTGTGGTACAAAATTCCTCCCATTACAACAACTACTACTACTAGTTAAGAGGATTAATTGGAAGTGTCAAATTAAACCACACTGTTACTCCACACTTTATATATAAGGTTACCACAGGACCATTTTTTTGCATACTTAATACGGGCGATTTACAATAGTGTGCCACCAAGAGTTTGCAACGCTTTGGCCAATCATAACGTGCGAAATTTGTCAACCCTTTCCGAACACGCACTGGGTCGACAAATTTCATGCATTGTGACTGGCACACTACTGTGAAACGCCCGTATTGACTTATTGACAAAAAGGGCTTGCTTATTAAAACAAAATTGATCAATGTTAACCCTGTTTCCAAGTTACAAGTCAATGCATATATTTTTTTCAACTGACATAGACAGTCAACTCTTTTGTTTTGGATTTTTCTAATCTGCCCTCGAGCTGACACAATTTTTTTCGCACATAAACAAAACACAGACACACAGAAGGGATTTTTGTCCAGCGACCAAAATAAAATAAAAATAACTTGGCAGGAAAGAGCATTTTTGACTCAACATAAAATTTGATACTGATTAAATCTATGTGGCCAGTAGAAAATGACTTAAAATGTGACCAAACTTAAAATACACATAAGTAGATTTCAAATGTTCTTAAAAAATCTTGATTATGTCTTTATGATGTAAAATCCGTCATAAAGCTATCAACAGAGGGTTCGTACTTGAAACATAGCTCTGCTCAACATTTCTAAAAAACATGGATTTAAAAATCTTTGGTATGAAAAATGACAATCTTGATAATATGACACACACAAAAGGATTTGTAAGGGAGACTGTCAAAATGTCTTGGGTAGAAAGCTTGAGAGGTCTAGCATTCTACACAAGAAAATAGATTTTGTGATGGAATTTCTCAGTCCAAATCACAGGTGGGCTATGGAAATATATGCATCTGGTATTTCCAAGATGTTCTGAATAAGAACAGCATCCCGGATGTCCCGGAAGGATGACCCATTGCAACAATGGTTCTGTGTACTGAGAGGTTCCCAGTGCACCATATACATGTATTTGGAACTGTGAATGCCATAGGTTTGACACCTGGCATTCTGAATAAACACGGACCACTGCATTCAGGAAATAAACTCTTACTGGTATTTACAACTCCCAACAATGTGGTAAATATATTACAGACAGCACTTTGAAATAAAACTATGAATACACTCATGACATACATTGCAGTGACATAATAACACACACTTTGTGACATAAAATAAAATCTTTGTAAAGCCTCTTGGTAGATTGTGTTTAAAAACTTCTGTACATTTCAGGCAAAAAGCTGGATTCAGCTCAAATGCGCAGACACATAAAAAGACATGGAGTAGCTTTGCATGGATGCAGATATCAAAAAACCCTGTTTTATGCTTAATACTACCAGCTGATCAACTTACATTCCCAGGACGTGTAGTTTCAGCTACTTAGTGATGATTTAGGAAGCATACTCTTTCAGCCAAGACGGAAGGTTATCAGGCTGAAAAATCTGAAGTCAAACAGAAACAGTTCAGGCTTCATCAGTTGTTGAAAATGGGGCCAAACCCACCAACTTCGTAAGTGAACTCTGTTATTTACACAAGGCCTGAATACGTTCTCTTCATATGATTAGTGGGCCATGGACTGCTGAGAGAGATCTGAAGTAGTCTTTCTTCATAGATCGTTAATTCTTTTCCCAGTGCATGCCATCACAAGTTGACTCATGTGCATGGGGGGACAAACATGTACTGTAATTTTATATCATTTTTTATCTCAACGTTTTCTTGTCCTTGTTAAAATATGTGCGGAAATGTCAACTAATACTAATAGCATTAAGTTTACTTTTGTTTTCCTCAACCCATGATATGTTTTGTTTGTATAATTTGTTAGTGTACGTGTTTATGATTATTTCTCATAATGGCTCTCCATTCCTGTCTTGCTGTTGCTTTTAGCTTTACTGTAACTTGTTTTGCTTTCTGGTTCTATTGATTTTTTTCCATTTTGAGTCATTTCTCCGTTTCCTTTTTAATTTCATCCTGTACTGCTGTCCGGATCAAATAAATAATAAAAATAAAAACCTATCCTAGTTCTTGTATTAATAAGAATTCATCATTTGTACAACACTTCTTAGAAAGGTCTGTAATAAGCAGTGGCCAAAATTTGCTGGATGAAGTGAGAAAAGATTCAAAGCCTACTATTTTTGCTCTCTGGTGGGCTGGAACACAGCTAACGGTTAATTTGAGCACCCTAAAATTAACAGCGTTTCCACATCAGGTCCCAGCATTGCATTCCAAAAGAAAATATGATTAAGCTTTTCATTTTTAGAGGCATGTGGAGGGGACACTAAGGACAAGTTCCAGTGGAAGCTACAGTTCAACCACTAGTCAATTGCTTTTTGATAACGCCCATGGGCAGTAAAGTCACACTTGAGAGGCCCTAGTTTAACTATATAAAATCTCATCTTGGGCCACATTTTGCTACTGGCTGACACTTGCGTGACAATCATGATCCATGATATGTTATACAATATTTTTCATCTGAAAGGTTCCCTCTGTATTGTCAAACTGAAATCAGCTATTGATAACAAGTGGTGCGGCCATGCCCCAGGGCCAACCATCCATAGTTCTGGCAAAAATTGGATGAACTATGGTTAACTATAATTCTACTTGAACTTGGGAAGGTAACATAGAAACAAAAACCTTCCATCCAAACATCACCCTAGGCTTACCTAACTATTTGGCCTTCAGTTTCCACAGTGCCATGCCCACGACAAGTGCAGTCACACCTATCACCAGTGCCCCTTGCCAGTGCCTGACCACTGCACTGCCATATGGGGAAAGGGGTGGGTCCCCTGTAGAGGGGTAAGCTCCAAAGCCGTTACTACATGTAGTTGCACTAAAACTGTGATGGCTGCCGATCCCAGTGGTGCCATTACCCTGAGTGTCTGTGAAGAAACCGGGAGGAAAAAAAGGCTGAAATGGGCTCCTCTAGGGTTTTTAAATGCAACAGCTCCTGTTAGATGAGAGCAGGTCAGCAGCATTTCTCGGCACTACAAACCACTTACAGTGATCAGTGGAGGTGATTACTTGGCTAGGTTTCCAGACATCCTTTCTCTGTGCCCCTCTGGTCTTCATCTCCTTCAAGAAACCGTCCCAGTCTGGTTCTGTTCTCGGTAGGAGAATCTGCATGTGGTTCCAGAACCTGGGCAAGAAACGGTGCATAAGTTCCTGACATGTTTATTTGAAAAAATGCAACAAGGCTGAAAGAGGCAACGTCAACCCAATTGTGAGCTCTTTTTCAACCACACCAGAACATCTGCAGTACCGTCTCTTGTCTTACAGAAAGGCACAATTAAGCTACCTGATATGTAAAGAAATATCCCTCATTACAAAACTTAAGAATGTACACCAATGCATACATGATGCTCAATGCATACATGATGCTTCACCCATATGACCAAACTTAACCAAACTCACCCCATCAAGCACAACTGAAGGCCATCTTATCAATGCTTAACCAACCCATTCCTTTTGGTAGTTACCAACTGAACATAAACACAAGCCAAAGCAGACCTAAACCCAACCCAAATTTGCAAGACCAAACTTAGCTGACACAAACTCTAACCATCTTCAACCCATAACTTAATAATTACAAACCAAGCAATCAAAATGAAATGGAATCTATAACTCGCAACTCGGCTGAATCCAAAGTAACCCAGCCTAGTCCATCCTAGGCCTGCACAGCCCAAACCAACCAAACTCGACCAAATCCAAACCCAGTCACACCCAGTGCAGCCCAACTCAACCCAGCAGAGCCTAGCCCATCCCACTCAACTATGAACAAGACACCATCAACTGAGCCATAGCTACAAGTATAATACCATGCCATCCCACACACACTGTTAAATAATCACAAACTCACAAATAGTGAAATGTGTCTGGTTCTCGAGAGATGCGATTGCAGAACCCAATGTACAGGTTGTCCCAGAAGAGACCTTTTTTCACTGTTTCCCGGTGTACGCCAATGCGGTTCTTCATCTAGGATTCAAAATTAAAGGAAATGAAAATTGAAACTCAAGCCAAAATCTCCAACATTAATCCCTAACGAGCTGACCAATTACAGCATTCTCACTGCAATGCAACTCTTCAGGCCTTTCATCTCACTTTCTTTTCTCATCCAATTTTGCTCGTGATCATCTGATCCCCTTAAAATCTGCATGGACTGACAAAAAGCCTTATTTTGCTAACAACCCAAAACATCTCCATAACACTGGCAATAAGCCAATGTACTGAGAACATTGGACTTTGTTTGGCTACATATATGTTTGTACTTTCCTGTGGAGCAAGTAGGGGCCAACAGTCCATGTAGCATTGTAGGAAAGCACAAAAGCGTTATACGATGTCGGCAGTATATCAACACCAAATGTTTACTTATAACAGGAATTTTGGGCGCCACAAGCCAAACTCCCTACCTCCAGATAGTTGTGCGCGCGAGATGGTCGCTCTGTCGGGAATGTAGGTTCCTCTCCCAAGAAGTCCACCATGAAATCGTAGCCTCCAGGGATAGGCTCGAAATCATCCCCTCGCTCGATCATCTTTCCACAAAACACAACAAACCAAATTCAAACAATGGAACTGAGCTTTAATAACATCTTTAAAGGACAGAGTTGGCCAGCCTTTGATCATCAATTTGACATTTTCAGGTTTAAGATGTGCAACATCGAATCTTATTCTCTAATAGATACCTCAAGAATAGAGTCAGAACCACGAATAATGCTGAGTTTTGACGCATATTGTCCTTAGCACTTGCGTTCAATTGTAATAAAATGTATAGTTAGTCTTTAGCCATAGTGACTTATCCGGCCAGTGGTTATCAGCAGTATCCCTGGTAAGAATTTCCCCGGAATACTTCTGTTCTCCCTGGACGGGACGCTGGTATATCACAGGATACTCCCCAACTAATATCAGTTATTCATTTATACTCCTGGATGGACAGACAAGTAGGGGTGAAGTGGCTTGCTCAAAGCCAAAAACCTTTGGCCAGCAGTTGGATTCGAACCTCTGACCCTCTGATCACATGTCGAAACCCTAACTACTGTGCCACATTCCCCTAAAGGTCTACAACTGCTGTCACGTCATCACTTTCTGTAATGCTGCCTATTACACACTGTGGCAAATGTTAATGTCTGTGATGCAGTTAAATGTAGTAAACTGCTGGAACGCAAAGCTAAATGAGTCCAACCACTCTCAACAAACATTGCCAGCAAGTCAGTCGCCTAATTAAAGTTTGCTCAAAGCCCTTTCCTCACTAACAGTTTTTAGTTACGGCTTCCTTCTACTCCACATGGTTATGCTGCAGTGACCATAAATAGCTACAGCCTGTCTTATACTCAGCCTATTGCCACTCACTCTGATGACAAGGTTGTAGTTCTTAAAGCCTGTCCATCGGTAGTAGAATCGAGTCCATTCTGGGTAGGCAAAGATCTCGTCCTCTATATTCTTGTTGATGTCGTTGAGGTACTTCTCAAAATTCCAGCTGAAAAGAAAATTAACATATTTTGACGACCCCACTTCAACTTCAGACATTTGCTTTCACATTTAACAGCAATCTTGTGGTCAGACATTCGGTAACTTCAGTGCACTTCTGCATAGCATCGAATGAGGGAAAAGGAATTGTGCCTCTTGGTGTGTTAAAAGGCTGTGGTGAGGTCAGGCCGACTATGAGAATACTCGTAAATAAAGGCACTTCAAAAAGAAGAAATTTATGTTTATATTTAGTTTCTGCAAATGTTAAATTTGGTAAAGTGAAAAGACGGACGTGCCAATAAATTTATACAATAACTTGTTAGGTATTCAGACAATACCAACTTGTTTTTCAATATACAACACATTTAGATGCCTGTAGTTTTGTTCAAACACTTTTCTGATACCCACATGAAGCACAAATGCTCACACAATGGAACATGTGATTTTAGTCCAATGTACTGTGTAAATGAGAAAACATACCATCATTTGACTTACAAATATGAAACAGGTAGGATAAATATGTATGAGTAAGGATTCAAATCTAACATTTCAAGGGGGAACTGATCTTGCAATGATTTTAACAAGATCTTGATGAGGGAGAGTTGAATACTTCTGCACAGCTGTTTCATTTCAAACACCTTGTTCTTATTGCATAATGGATGGCTGTTCCCCATGGCATCCCTATCAAGAGCACTGCCTCAGAATGGTCTGTGCACAGAGTGGACCATTCCCGCTGATGGAAAAACATTTCAAAAGAACCCCAGAGTCCAGTGAGAATAGCTCCATGGTATGTGAACATTCAAAACTCTTGGGAGCCCCTTAACACTGTGGTGAGATTTCCATCATAAAAATGATATTTCTACACGCATCAGAAGTTGCATGTTCAATTCAACACACGTAGACATGTACCTTTGTACGTATTATTATGATCCACCAGACAATTTTTTCCCGAATATTTGAATCTGAATGTATGAATGAGTTTTGCAATGTCTCTGATATATGTGGACTACTCCATGCAAATGTGTCTCACACCTGTCTTTGTACTTCTTGGTGCCTGGAGGAGGATCCTGGACGTAGTCACTAAGAAAACAAAGAAATAGTGCATACTGTCAGTTATCGAGAAACTTTTTTCAATTTTTCCTTTCTCATATTGAGCTTAAATTACTTTTAAGTTGTATTTCTACATGTGTGAATATTTATGTAAGGTGACATATTACCTATGAAAGTAGAAGAACACGTACATGAACAATCAACATTAAAAATTGGGTCTAAATATCACAAAAATCCAAAATCTAAGGTGCTTGCGACGACCTTCAAATCTTGCCTCTGAGACTTGCCAAGAAATAAATGGACTACTGTGAAGACGCTACCATTTAGGCCTTGGTTCTTGACTTCTGAAGAAGGATTAAACACTTGTCACTATAAACACAAGTCAACACAGCTTAAAACCCTGGCCAGAAGAAAGTGTGAACATGGAAGAGCAAACAGGCTCCTGGAGCTCAGAAATCCATGGGTAAACAAAAGTTATTGATCCCATTTACTCTATACCCACTCTACTGTTTGTTTTGCCAACACACACAGTAACATCAAACAAATCAAATCACAGTGGACAAGACTCGATAAGCAGTTTCTATCCAGTTAATGACTGTGTCAACACTAGGTCTTGATGTCAAACTGGCTTAACCATGTACTAGTCAAAGTTTCCACAGCAACCTTAATTCAAAGTGTACACTGTGCTCTGTAGAACAATGTGGAAGGGGATTCCACTTTCAAACCTTTGCAATTAGCAGCAAATGGATGGTCCCACATTGTTGCGCATGCTAACCTCTTAAAGTGGTAAGGCATTAAATCATTTTAAAGGACACACACGGGTAATTGAGTTGGTACTCCTGATCAAAAATAGTCTTGAAAATTTCCCCAAAATTTGTTTGGGAAATCCCAAGTTCGCAATGTACACAGCCAACACGGTATAGGTAGCCACAAATTTGTGACACAAATTGAAAAGTGTCAATTCTACTTAATAATAAGGATAATAATGACAGTAAAATAGGCAAACACCCTCTGTTACATTAACATTATGGCAATTTACATTGACTCATCCGGCAAGGCAAAGATACAAGAAAATAAAAAATGACTAATAAATTAAATGAAAAATGTGTAGTTTGTGTATTAGTACCCTGCATAAGAACCATTTCACTGGGACAGTCTATTTGCAGGAAGAAGACCCTTAAATGATAAATATGCATTATCATAAGGGTCTCAAGAATGTCTCTTTAAATTATGGTACTGTCGGGAATTATTGCATCTGGTGCATATAAATTCACAGAGATATTATCATGGGTTAATCCATTAAAATGAGTTCTAGTAAATGAATTAATAAACTTAAAATATCATAGATGGGAAACCAAATGTCCGTGACAAAATTAGTCTCACTTTCACAGGGCGCAATTTAGCACATTTGGGTAGTAGCATGCATTGAATGAAACGGGTACCTATCTCCTTGTATGGCTTTTTGCAGGTCCAACATGGCCCCGGGTCTTGGACTCCAAGTCTTGATGTTAGGTGAGTACTTGTTGATAAGCCCATTGAGTGCATCGGGGTCGTTCTTAAGGTTTGTTGACTTTATGTAACTGTAGCAGACAAATGACAGCATTTGAAAAGACCAATGGCAATAAACATTGCTTCAACACCTTCCATCTGCAAATACAGTTTTTTTGTTAAACGATTACTTATCAGTTTCTTATTTGTGACCTATCTCAAGTCGCCACTGCCACTTTTGAGTTAAACTCCTTTAAAAAAAACATCTGCACAACAGAAATCAAACAGGAACTATCAAAGTTTTGAACCCATGAAGTGTCCGGGTTCATCAGGATGCCAAACGGATCAATAAACACACGACATCAACAAACCCAGTTTGTTCTCTTTAATGGAAATTAAAATGAAAAACTAATAAAAAAATGAATTCAAGGCTCCTTTTGTGGGATCCTGTGACATGTACCCTTAGAAATCTGACCGACACTTAAGCATGATGTTCCCTCAACCCAGAGTGAAAGGGATGTAGGGCTGAGTCAATTCGAATAATTCACCTGTAGAATATTTGACCTTCAATTCGATCGAATATCCAAATATTCGGCTGTACCGACCGGCAGATTGTTGATGAACAAAATCAGATGCAATAACACACACAATTGTACATTATAACCAATGTACATGTAATAGTTTCTCAAGCCTAGGAGTATCTCCAGCCACAATTTAGCAAAATTTAATAGAACAATTCTTCTTACCCTGTTGAAAATTTCTACTCCTTTTAAATTGTTTACTAAATAGTTAACTTTTTGAATTGTAAGATTTCTATCACTTTTCATTTGATCTGCTTGAAACAAGCCTCCATAGTGCAATTTTTCCCATTTAAAACAAAGAAACTTACCCTCTTCCTTTTCATGAAGGTTGCATTTAAATATTCAAATTCAGAAAATATCATTTGAATATTTGATAATCAATTGAATATTCAGATATTCAGCACAGCCCTAAAAAGGATGTTTGTAAAACAAATGATGACCATTTTCTAGGAACCAGAAAGAAAACCCCACAAAAACGGACTATTAGGAAACTCAGTAATTGAGCACACACTGACAAACTTAGCCCAAGTCAAACTTGATGGGTTTCAAACTAAGAAAATGGAACCGGAACTGAGAGACCAGAAAGGGCAACAACTGTGGCAGCTTGATTACTCCAAAACTGCGCAGGAGTCATTGCGGTAACTTACTGGTCAGAAGGGTGTGCCTCGACAAAGTAACCCGCAAAGGGGCAATAGACGATTGGCGAAACCTCTCGCACTAGCTGCATCTTATAGTACAACAACTTGCGTCTCTCACGCTTCACAAACTGTGCTTTCCATTCCTCTGAAAAAAACAAAATAAGCCAAAAGTCTGCCTCAGCAACTGCACTTTGCAAATGAGATTCTTGCCTGAAGAACAGATGAGCCCTGGACAAGTTAAGGGTGCAGTTCAACAACTGCACCATGTCAGTAGACCACACATGTACAGGTATGTGCAGAATTCTGTATCTCACAGGTTCATATCCTGTTGCTTCTGTAAAGTTATCTACAACTAAATAATTTCATGGTGAATTATGTGATATTTGTGGTGAAAGTTTTGATCTACCAATATTTAAAATTTACTGAGCAATATCCATGTTACCGATTTTTTTTGCGAGAAAGCATATTGTACACAGATTGTTCTGCTAACGGAATGAATGCAAGATTAATTCAAAACATAAAAATGTCATTAACATTGACAATTAATGCACTTACATGTATTTAGTCATGCATTCATTTTACTGCATAACCGTCAACTAGCCTGAATTTCCTCACCTGTGTACTTTCCTCCAGTAAATGTCATTGGGAAACCTGACGCCCCTCCGGCAAAGTCGCTCAGCATCAGGTCAACCCTCTTGGGGAGCCTGCCCCCATTGGGATTGGTACAATCCACTGTATTTAAAATTAGGTGACCTGTAATCCAACGACATTCAGTGTATTGAAATCTCAAATACTACAAAACACCACTTGATTTGGCTTACATTACTATCTTGGAATGTTTGGACACAGCACAATCATTAACATTTATCCCTGTAGTCTCCATGTGTTTTTTACAACCACGTAAATGCATACGTAGGCACGGTACATGCATCATGATGCTGTAGTCAAGACTATATTATATTGCCATGGAGAGACCAGGGGCAACAGGGTAAATAATGACAAATGCTTTTGCTGTAGTTCATCTGAATAGTTTGTGGGTTACACTCAGACTGGAGGTCTTGTGTTGGTCTTGTGATGGTCTTATGGGGCTCAGGATGGATCTGAAGACATCTTGACAACAGCACCAGCTTCAGCCGAAACGAATGCAATGACCATTGGATTGTTTTTTTTTTCTCACGATCATCAGGACAAATCAACATTTCTATGATGGTCAACTTCGTTTGCTGCCCTGACCTTTATAATCTACCAGCAGACAGGTGTCCATATCAGGATGCACTCCATCCATCATGATCATGAACCTCAGATCTCTGTTGATCTGCACAGAACAAGCATGTACAAAACAACACAGTTATCAATTTCCATCCTTTTTTTCCCAGAGGTTAGGTTGAGAGATGAGAAGAAAGCTATTAAACATCAAAGCAGAGAGGTTGTAATAAAAGCAGTAAAAGTACAGTGACTTTTTGGTGCTTTCAATGGCTAACAAGGCATGGATTCTTTCACAACAGATGCGATTTTGTGAATCTTGCACAAATCTGCAGCAAAACAACAGTTTAACCTGTTAGAAATCTGCACTTTGGGAGGTAAATAGTCCTGCAATTGAGAAGAATTCTGTAAAACCACATCCTTTCTTTAACATACAAAACATGTGACAACACAAACTTTTTGTGACCAACTGTATCAGGCTGTTACCTCGATCCATCTACCAAACTTCTCAACGTGGATGTTGTTCAGCGTAATTGCGCTCTGTTTTAACTTTACAAAGACCGGCATGGATGTGTCCCCAACGTAAATAGGAATGTCTGGGTTCTGTTCAGACAACAGCTCAAGAGTAGGATAACTACAAAGATCAGAGGAAAGAGATAATTACAAACAGGTTTTTAAAAAATGCAAAACAAAATTTAGATTCACAGGTAAACTGTACAAACCATGAGTGTATAATGTACCATGGAGAAAGGATCAACATGGCACAAACCATGAGTGTATAATGTACCATGGAGAAAGGATTAACACTGGCACATGCATACCAAACACTTGGCTTTGATCTCAACAGAATTTGGAAGAACTCTATAAAGGCTAATTTTAAGATCCAAAAAAACAGCATATGCGCACACTGTCTCTCATGTACATGTATGTATGAGGGACAGGACTGCACAGAACCAATTTTCAACTAAATGTGCACAAACACAAACATGAATCGGTGGTTTCATCTCAACAAAAATGGGTGTCCAACAGATATGAGATCCTAGAATCCACTAACAATTAACTTTTGCATATGTATGTACATGTATGCATCTCTCACTATAGGGCATGGCAGTTACTGTGCGACAGTCTTGTTCAAAACTTGGACAATTTTTTGTCTCTTTGAGAAAATCTTGCCATTCTTTTGCTTGGTGGCTTTACTGTACTTGTGAACTGAAGCCTACTAGTACATAGTGCAGGAGAATGAAATCAAAATTGCACCAAGTAAAAGGCACAACACACTCACTTTAAATGGTCCGAGTGAAGGTGACTTATGTAAATGAGGTCAGCTTTGGCTAGCCTGTCCAACCAATCAGATGGCGGCTCATGCATCAGCCACCAACCACGAGCAAAGGCAGGTCCCGTCAACCAAGGGTCAGTGAACATGGTGACACCTCCCAATTTCATCTCAATGCAGGCATGAGTGAAATATGTGATCTACAAAATACAAGTAACACCATCAAATGATGCTGTAAGCACACCCTGAAGAATATTCTACAAAACAGAATGTTCAACTGTGCATGCTAAAAACCTGGGGCCAATTTCATAGAGCTGCTTAAGCAACAAATTTGCTTAAGCGCAAAATGACCTTGCTTAAAAAGCAAAGGTTACCAGCTCAAAATCTATGTGATTGTCATGCTAACTAAAAGACGGGTAAATACCATTCCAAAATAATATACATCACGTGGAGTTTTAGCTGGTATCCTGCTTTGTCAAGTAAGGCTTTTTCATGCTTAAGCAAATTTTGTGCTTAAGCAGCTCTATGAAAATTGGCCCCTGAATTGACATTCTATCAAAAACTTCTTGAAGAATGATTTGACACATCTCTACCACCACCACAGCAACTGGAACAAGATAACGGTGCCCAGTATTCATAAATACATGTATAAGTCCTCAGGGCATAATACAGAGCCAAGCTGTGCCCTCCTTGGCCCAAACCACACTGGACTGTCAGCATACGTGTACAGTATCATACATGTATCTAATGTTTTGCTCCACTGGCCAAAATTAACAAATAAAAAAAAGTAGGAGAGTGAGTGATGTGCTCCCTGGAATAACTTCCAACGACACTGTACATGTACATGTACTCGCCCATATGAAAATGTACACACCGGTACATGTACATGTAAAAAAGTCATCCATGTAAGCCTCTATCTTGAATTCTGCAAAGCTGGCAAGGTTGAAAACTGCCTTGGTAACTTTACATCTACAGTGTACATGTATATGCTGCTGACAAGCAACAGTACCAGTGAAAAGAAAACAGCAAGGAAAGGCAAATAAACAGAATCAACTTGACAGCCCATTAGTGGCATACCACAAGGGCTGGATGGTGTATATTACTCAAACTACTGTAAGAGAAAAGCACATTCAGGCCATGGGAGTATCAGTGTGTTGAGACACAATATTGCACATGTCGCCGGGATCCTGTACAACATGAGTACAAAGTACATGCATGTATGCATTTTTAAGCAGTTCAGAAATAATGTTATTTGGGTGTATTGCTATGTTGACAGAGGTTTGCTTTAATATGGACGAAAATGATGTACATGTACCATGTGGATTTCCAGCAGGGGACAATATTTATTATCTAAAACTCTGGCATGAACAACCAAGTGAAACCACAGACTGAAAAATACATAAGTTTGACATATAGCCTATTTCACCTGATTTTCCTGCTACTAACATTACTCAAAAAGAGCTAATTTTAGACAGAGTTTCAATGCTTGGATTTAAATGGTTTCAAGCTACACATGTACAGGTATGTACAGAATCCGTCTATAAGTACACGGACATATTTCACAGCATTCACAACAGTTTGTAAATATTGGATCAAAGTATGCATGACCATGCACAGGAGCTTGAGTTATTGGTGTGGTGACCGATGTGTGAAGACTGTATTCTCTAGGGACTCATCTGAAGGTATTCAGAGTAATTGAAGAAAGTGACAAAGTGTGAAGGTAAAGTGAAATTGAAAGGTGTGACAGCATATGGTGGGTTTGTTGTTTATCATTAAATAACCCAAAACCTACAAAAAAGAATTCACAGGGTGGGTATACCGCTCTAAATACAATACGGTTGGTGGGAAATACATGTAGTGAAAACTAGTAACCGTTTTCCTGCAAAAACCATGATGTATTTGTTCAACCATACTGCATAAATATTCATCAGGAAGCTGTGGTATTTCATTGGTCCATCTTAGCAAGTTTGTGATTGTACGGTAATGGGACACACTGAACTGTTAATTTCAATTTAAGGAGACAGAATAGAATGGAAAATTAACATTGTGCCATTTAATAACTTTAACATTTGCACAAACACAGGATTTATTTTTGAAAGTTCTAAATCAAAATTTTCACTGCTTTAAATCGACCAAAGTGTGACACACTGTTGTAATACAGAGTAGCACGACTGTCCTCATGGTACGTACATAAAGCACACACACCACAGGTCAAAAGATCTTGCTGTGCTGGGACAACCCTAGAGCTGAGACCTAAGTGTGTGGTAGTTTCTCCCACTGACCATCTACTCATGGATGTGCAACCGCAAGCTGCCCCAGGGCAAACACATGTGCGAACTTGGTTCCATGCGTGTTACGGATTGTTATTACCCCCGCAGGCGCTCTCGACTTTCTCGAAAAAACTCGCGACCACATGACACACGTTGCAGCATGTACAGTGCAGCCGTGGTTATGCCGAGACGACGCGCCAACGAGGTGCTTAAATCTATTCATTTTGACGAATAAATCTTCTTCATTTATCGATTTCAAGAAAAACGAAGTTTTAATGAGGCAAAATTCCCCCAAATTTGTGGTACACTTTTCTCAGAAAGTAAAGGATGAAATATCTTGAGCAGCATATTTTTAGAAAGGGTGTACCCTGACTTAAAATATTACAACAAAACAAAGTGGTAGACAGGAATACATGTTTTATTATTAGAGAAAGTGTTACATAATCCAACTTAATTTCTGTTGTGATATTGTTTTGGCCGTAACACGCATTGAACTAGCTCTGAGCTTAAGTTGCACATCCCTGGGTAAATGGTCGGTGTTTCTCCCCAGTTTTGGTGTGTCATGCACACACATACAATGACACTGGGAAGGAGCAAAAACTATCACATGGTTGAGTTCCTGCAAAAGACTAATGAAACACTGCAGCTGCCCTCTGAATATTTATGAGGTACGGTAGTAAAAGCTAGAAAAGTGCAATAATACACATCTACCGGGTTCCACAAAAACCTTCAGAATACAGAGCCATACACAGTGTATGTGCATGTGCACTGAATTCCACCAATGTACAGTAGTATCCACGGAATTACAAACATGACAACTACAAGAATGTTGCATTGTAAACACTGATTACAGTGTTCACTTCAACTTGCAAGAAAGCTGTGGGAAATAATAACACTGCACATAAATTTGAGACTAGACTAAGTAATAACACTTTCCAACTGTGCTGAAGCTGATGGGAACCAGAACACTTAGCCAAAGTACTTGACCTGTACAGGTACAAGCATTTTCAACCAAGTAAACCAAGGTTTCAAGCTTTGCTGTCACTTGGATTCTATTCAGCAAGGTGTCTTTTGAATATCTAAATGAGATTAGGGTAAAAATATTCTCAATTTGCATCTTCTCATTGGTTTATTTCTGAGGCACAGACGGCCTGATTAGAATCAGGTTCCAGCTTCAAGCACGCATTTGTCACTTTTTGCACAACATTTAAATTACAATGGCTGTTGCTCTACAAAAAATAAAAGTCACATTCTTGAGTTGGAATATTCCAAAAGACAGTTCTGTGTTTTCAGCAAACTGTACCAAAGCTTTTCATAAAAGACCTGCTGGTTGCAAACTGTTGTAGAAAATACATAATATTTGTAACAAAATTTCATTTTAACCCTGGAATGCAAACTTACACTGTAATGCACCTGCCCATGCATTTAATGGGCTGTTGTTGGTACCGGTACATAAATGTACAGGCAAGTGCATTACACATGAAATAAAGCCACCTAATAAATCTGAAGAGGATCCAAATTCCAAGATCACCCTTTCATTATCATTCTGTACAAACTACAGTTTGCGCAATGTCATTTGATATCAAAATAGGGAATAACAGAAACTGACTTCAAACTATTTCCGTCTGCAGGATAATTTGCATTCATTACTTATGACTTTTGCAAATTAAAAATGTGTACTAAACTTACAAAATCACGGTAAATAGACAGGGACACAAAAATTTATAAAGAATGTGCATGTATACACATAATAAGTAATAAATTCACCGAAAGTTTAACACAGTCAAGCAGGCGCTACTTCTTGCCATAATTCATTGCATTGCATAAACCTTGGAATTAAGAAAAAAGGTAAACGTCCCAGCTGCATAAGATTTAGTGGGGTAGTTTTCAATTTGTAATGCCACACCAATACCCGAGAAGTAAAAAAACAAGTCATCTGATCTGAGAAAAAGTTCCATGTCTGATTGTCAGATCACACAGTACATGTGTACCATGATTTTTTTTCATAAACTGTCGGTAGGGTCAACTTAAAACTTACACATGACAACATCATAAATGATATTTATGCCAATTCAACTACAAAAAATGTCAACTCTGAAAGGAGGGTTTTACATAAAGTTTACCTTTTACATGTATGTACAAGGAAAGTTGGAAACCACAATCTCATTTGAGGCATAAAAAAAATACTATTAACAATTTGGATTTTAATTAACAAACAAAACTAGAATTGCACTGTCAGTAGTAAGGCCAATAAACCCTTCACCACCTAAATCCAGGGAACAATTTCGGTAAATATCAATTGCTCTGTTGCAAAGTAACACAAATTTTCAACAAAATCAAAGTCAAGTTTAATAAGTTGGTCATTTTGTTTTTGAAGGAAATCATGTGTATCAGTAAGTACATGTATAGAAACTGGTCAGAAACCAGACACGACTCTCTGGCTGAGGTTTTCATTTTCTGCATGATCAGCTTTAGAAAGGGGATTTCAAAATCCAGTGTGTGCATGCACCAGCGTTCTCTTAACGGGCTTCAGAAATGGAAACAGATATTCAGCACCGTTGATTCGTTGACAAAGAGGATATTCAGTGGTCAAACTGATAACCCTATAGACCACTCTCATTTTCCATACTTGTATGGGTGGCCAAAGTTTGCAGAAATATCACTTTTTGGTTATTTTTTTATTTTACCTCAAATTTGTTCAAACTGTACATCTGTCCCGTAAATTTTAAACAGAGTTGTATTTTCATTGTGTGTTATAGTACATGCAGTATTATCTGGTGTTCTGATAGCTGAAAGATTTTTAACACTGTGAATAATAGTTTTAATTTTGTACTGATGGCCAACCATAGTTAAGCAGCTACTTGTAGGAAAAACACAACTGTGACTTCAAACAACCGACCCTCTACATGTCTAATACAGAACGTGAAATTACGGTCAGACATCGGACAGTTTCCGATCACTTATCATGTTTGTCCAAACAAAATCAAAGATGCTCAGGCAAATTGTCAATAACATATCAATAATATATCAATAACAGCTCTTAAATATGGACACAATACACGTATGTGAGATTATGGCGTTCAATTTATCATTGGATTTGTGTTAGAATTACGTTCATTACGCCCAAGGCATTCATCAGGGTTGATTACTCATCACCGGCCCAAGTCACCCAGTGCTACCCGTGTATGAACACACATGTACTTTACTTGCACAGACATGGAACTCCCCCATAATTCTTTGCGCATCCTAAAACGGAGGTCATGCTGTCAACCAACGTTAAATTTTCTGTGGTAACCCATACATGACACATAACCTGGGCACCAGGCAATATGGACCAGTAGTGGTTGGCTGCGTTCGCGCGGTTCCTCCAGTTCAACCCGAGTGTGGTGCGTGCGCATTATATTTCTGTATGTGCGATGGGAGTATACCCTCATTGGCCCCCAGGTCTTACTCCTGCCGAACACGAGTAGCTCGCTTGAACGCAGCCCTTAGTCACGGCTCAAACGTGCTCCTCGAGTTAGACTGTTTCCCGGTCCCCGTACTCTGGACAAAAATAATAATGGGGTTGGGAACCCCAACTCTACCTTTTATATAATATGACATGTCAAAAGCTGGTAATGGCAGAACAAAATTGATTGTGTTATGACATTTTGTCTGAGCACTTTTGGGGTCTAAATTTCACACTTTTCAATATTAAGGTGAACAGGTGTTTTGTTTCTATAGGCTCAAAAAGCATTTTCTGATACAGTAAATGTAGGTCAACTACACTGTGCAATGCGAATGAGGGAGTTTGGTCTGGCCAAATATACTGAAACAGGTGAACTTTAATGACAGAAAGTTTTAAATTTAGGGGTAAAGACATCTGCATGTGCATCCCACAACAACTGGTCTGAACAGCTCCATATCAGCAGTGTGTTGTACGTACTTGTCTTTCCTCTGGGATTACCAGTGAGAACCCACCCATGCCTGTTTCACATACAAAGTGTGGACATTCCTTTGTACTCCTGTGGTTAAGGAAACATGAGGAAAATGCTCCTTTTCCCCAACTAGGATAACTCCTTCGAGCTGGATTTTTGTTGATGATTTCCTGGACTGTTCCTCTTCATTTTGCCCAGATACCTTGATCCCAAATTGCCTCTGAAACTGTTTTTCAGAGAGGGGGAAACATTGTGTGGAAGTGTGCGAGTCCACAGGACGCCATCGCACCCTACATTTTGTGGACTTCTTTGTGCAGAGGTCCACACTAAGTACATGTATGCCACGCCTGCACACTTACAATGTGTGTGAACAGGTAATTGTTAGCTGTGCATGTACATGCTGTGTGATTAAGGGGCTTCTCTGAAAGTCACACTACCAAAAATGTCACCAACAGACCTCTATCACAATGCTGCCATGTTTGTCCTGTTCCATGTAGACCCATTGGCAATAGTATCACAACTTCACATACTGATAAACGGGAACCGATTATTTTTTCTCCAGCTTAGGTTTGGTTACACTCCTTTGAAAGGCAGAAAAGTGAGATACCCGATACATGTAGCTGCCCCATGACAGAGGTCTATACTGCCACCTGAGCACCTGCACTCGCGCATTAATCAGGAATGGCCTTTAATGGATTTTCCCATCATCTGTGTCAAATCTACTCAAGAATAAAAAAGTATTGCTACATCACGCTGCACACTCATGGCTGACTGACCTGCACTTCTCCAACTCGGAGAGGAGCGGGTGGTCTCTTGTCTGTCTCCCACGGTTGGGGCGGCCTAAGTTCCACTATGCTCAGGGTGCCATCATCATTCAACTCAGGAACTTTGGCAAATTTCCAAAAAAGAAACAAACAAAAACATAAAACAAGTTGAGAAAGCAGGAGGACAAAAGAATGGAGATTATGGCCAAAAATGGGAGTTTCTTGCCTTTTTTTTTTTTTTAAAGGAGATCTTCCCAAGATGGTGGATAGATTCTCTTAACCCTTTTGTGACAAAAACGTTTGTGTCAAAATGGAGGTTCTACTCAATCCAACAGATATTAAATAGGGGAATAAATATCTGCTTGGCCAGTTCTTGAACCTTCCTTTAAGACCAGATTAGGAGAATGGCCATTAGATACTAATAATGCCAGATCCAAATTTGAGGGATATTACCAACAACCATCCTCCTGAGACAGTCCCAAGACCGGCCAAGCACATACTCAGTCCCATACATGTACATGCACCTTTTGAGTCACTAAGTCAAACCAAGTTTTAAATATTATAAATGTCCAACATTTTAATTCAACAATTCAACTTCCTTTTTTGCAAACACCCCTCTAACCAAGTTATAGTATGTTCTCCTCTTGAGTAGTCATATTATAATCTCCTAAAACAGAGATTGGCCTGTGTGCGGTGTGTACTGAATGAGATGGTACAATGTACATACATGTCGCCATACATGTTGCTTTATCAACCATTTAAGACCAGCCATGTAATGAGTTCTTGACCAATAGGAATGACTAAACTGTCTTACTGCGTACATGTAGATATCTACGTGTATGAATTTGTACTTATGGTGGCATATTTCTTAGAGGGAAGCACAAAGTTAAAATATATGAATGTTGCAAATTTAACCAAAAAAAATTAAGTTTGAAAAAAAAGTTGATTTGAAGAAAAATGAACGGAGACAAGAAGCTACATGTACATGAACCAGGAGTTCAATTTTTACCCAGTTTAACCCTAACACTATCTATTCATCCACCAAGAGGATTCAAAAATTTTTCAGGATTATTGAAGAAGGCAGAAACCCAGTTATAATAATGGGACTTAATTTCATTGGAAGTTGGAAGTGCATAGACATGTCTCCCACACAGTGTTGGATTCTGGAGTGCCTAGGATAGGTTCTTAGCCAACTGTCAAGCAAGTTAGATTTAGTGCGGAAGTACACAGGAAGCATAACACACCAATATTTGTGTAAGGAAGGCTTAGCTCTCTGACAGCTCTTCAAACATCATTCATTACTGTGTATGGCATATGGTGAAATATTTTTACACGTTTGCTTTGTCTGTCAAGCAGATCCTGAACAATGAAGTTTAACGCGCACATGGGTCTCCAACAACTTCTGGGCTGCTACAAAGAGTTACATTTCAAGCCAGTCTACATCTGGTGTTTTCTTTGACCACATTATATTACATGTAGATCTATTTAGTGGCTATTTTCCACTCACAAAGATACTCTAGTTAAAGTTGTTCTACAAATGAATTTATACATTTCACTACCATTGCTACATACAGTAACAGTACCTACAGGTATTAATTCCTATTCTGCCACCATTTTTACAAATAAATTGTTGTCTAGTTAACATTTGAGCTAAATACATGTACACGAAAGTCAACATACCTAATTGTTCTTGGCTGAAGCTATCAGGTGGGTTCACGTATCGCATTGTCTTTGCATCTAACTTCCATCCATGTTTGGTGCAGCGTAACACACTATCATAAAGAGAATATTTGAAAAAAGTGAATCACATGGGTAACATTTCAAGCAGCGTTATAATTGAGCACCAAGTTCACTTCAAATATTAAACTGGTAAGGAGGGAACAAAGTTGAAGGATATTTGATGCTAAATGCAGAAAGGTAAGATTACAAAATAAATTTAAAGCTTCAGACACTCCCCGTTTTGAACAAATTAGGTTTTAAAGAGCAAAGCACTCCAACAGTTTTTGAGTACTTTTGTAATAAAACCTAACTTTTATTCATTAAACAGTGATGGTATGAACTCATCATTTCATTTTCTAATCTTACCATTGTGCAATTACCACCAAATGCTCATGTTCCATAGTTTTGTTCCCTCCTTAGCAGTTTCATATTTGGTAGTGAATTTGCTGATCGAAAAGTACATGACTGTAACACTGATTCTGACTGATACGAGTACTGTACATGATACCACTGTGTACTAGACCTGTTATGTTGAACTCTGCAGAAAAATGTGGAAACCTATTAAAAATGTACCGGAACATAAATTAAGATGTGTACTTGACCAGACAGAAATAGCCATAACCAATACTAGACCCTTAAAATACAGATTTTTGTATTCTGATCTTGTAGACGAAGGCATTGCTCAATTGGGAATATCAATGGTCCGATGAATCATTGGTGTACAGTTGACTCACCAATTGTCCCCGTCTTCGATATCCTTGATGAAAGTGCCCCCTTGGTGTTTGCACCTGTTCAGGCAAGCCTTGAACATGTGGGCACTTGCCGGCTCATCCTCTGTGTTCTCTGCAGTGGGATCCTTGAAGATGATGTACCGCTCCTTCTCGGACTTGTTGATGAGGTTGATGCCATCCTTCAGTAGTTCTGTCTCCTCAGCGGAGAGGATGAAGACCACCTCACTATGCTGCTCCATAGTGGCCTGATCTCCACTTGATTGACATGATTCAGGGAATAAAAATTCAAATATGTTCAACAAAACTGACTCCACTTTATACATAATAAAGTTTTGATGTGTCTGTCTGATGCCATGATACAGGACAGTAGAAAGGAAGGCTTTAAATCAATAAAGGCCCAGGTTATTGTAACGACTGTTCTGTCTCTAACTTGCGATCAGACACCCAAACCACTTGTAGGTCTATATGTACACAGGTAGCCTACATGTCATGTACATATGTACATGTATTATGCCCATTATTAAACATCCAACTCTACAAATGCCCCAGCTAATGGAAAACGTCCAGTTGTCGTCAACAGCATACAAGCACATTTTTGTAAATTAATTTTCCTCCACAAAATTAAGACCTTTTATTGAGCCAAAAAGCCTAACATAAACAATAAAGAGAAGCCACTGACAGAATGAAGCTTAGATTTGGGGAAAATTGTGTAACTTCCACATGCTCATGCATAATATATTTATGATGAACCAGGCATGGGTTGTTTGTTATCAGCATCAATGTGTACTGCTATGGCAGTGATTTCACTCTCAATCCAAAATTGTACTTGTTATTCACCATTATGTTCCTTAAGGTCAAATCAAGCACTAGGGATGCAACAAAGAGAGAATAATTACTATTACAAGGACAATGACAGAAGTGAAATAACAATATTGAAACCCGACAGTACAGAATATAAGTACACGGCCAAATGTAACGTAACTTAAAACTTCATATGTGTTTCCCTTTGAATGAAGGTATCACAGAGCCATGGATGTAAGAAAAAAACATATAAAATTCCCCAAAGTTTGACTTGGGAGTTGATTTCAAACATGAAAGGATAGCCCCCCCCCATATGAAAGGACTTTCTTGAGTGGGAAAAAGTTAGTCATTAGCCAATTTGGCCCAAAAATTAGACCACACTCACACACCTTCAGGGCTGGCTTGCCACTTAACTCATTACAACCATGCATTCACCCACTCTGAGGGGGAATTGAGCAGTTACACACATTACATACACAAACGTGTGTGTAGGCCTTAACCCTAA